AAAATAAAAAGAAAACCTTCAAATATTCCAACTTGTGCCCCAGAAGCGGACAAATGGAAATGTACAGAACTGGATTAGCAGGTGGCTTTATCAACAGCTTCTGCTTTCACGTGAACTTGGCTTTGTAATTAAAATGTGTAAACTGAGATCAGTTAGTACACATTTGTCACCTTGCTGAGTTCCCACCTGTAATCACTCCTCAATTAGTTATCCTGTCTTAATTAAACACAGCTACAAGATGCATATTGCTCCCTAACACATCACTTAATAAACATTTTAATCCTTATGATTTTAATATCACAGAAGTGAAAGCATAGACTCAAGAGAACCCCACAAGCTACAAATAATCAGGATGGTTGATGCATTAACGCATTTCTGCCTCATCTACCTCCACTTAGGAGTACTGTTTCAAAGAACTCACCAGCTTCCCAGGGCTGTTTATGCCTGAAAATCATTGCCTTGTTATGTAGCTTATAGCAGAAGCCTGTTACACTGTGCCTAGACTAATAAATTTCAGTTGCATGTGTTTCATGTACCAAAGAAAATGCTTAGAAAGGAATAAGTGTAGCACACCTTCACTGATATCAATCTGTTTAAGTCTCTCTAGTCATCTTTTTAAAAATCAAACATACTTCATATCACATTTTTATTAGCATGGAACGTTATGTGCTGTGACATTCTCTTTCACTAGCTTTGTTTACTCTTCTCCAAAGGTTTCTACAGAGCAGGCTAGTACTGATCAATGCAATGTAATGCAACCCTGGAGCACCATGTGTTAAATAATTCTCATCATGTGCATTCCATGATGAAACTGATGTAAAAACATTAATAAATATTCAGTGTAAGAGCTGGTTAAAGAAAACCTCTGGAATTCCAGGCTCACATGCTCAACACTACAACCTAGACTGCCTCTTTACTTATTTATATGAGCTTACCATGCAAATTTTTGCTATTTGCTATTTCTAATTGAAAGATAAATGTACTTCAGAGCTCTAGAACTCCATTTAAAAACCAACAGTTCATGTTAAAAGGAAAAGAATCCTCAATATCTCAAGAGTAGACCACCTGGCTGATGTTCCTAAGCCTAGGGAATATTTCAGGCAAGCCTGTGAAAAAGCAGTATCCTTCCCTTCCCTTTGCCCTGAGTGCATTCGGTATGCTATGTTTTACTTTCTTGTTTTATGGCTTCTGCATTCACATACTCTTGTCACACTCCAAACTCTTCCTTAAAATCTTATTCCTATTGGCATGTTCAAGGAATACCAGCCTGCAGATTCTGCCCTGCACTTACGGTGCCCAAAGAACATGTATTGAAAGATGAGCTGAAAGAATGCCTTCACTGAAAAGAAACACTCCGCCAAGAATATTGGATCCTGTGTTCCTCTGATAAACAATCTCCAGTGCCTGAATTTCATTGGGATAAGGCATTAAAAACGCTGCTCATAGCAATATATAAAGACAGCAAAGTGCTGTTAAGACTGAACCAACTATTCATGCCTACATAGATTCAATGTATTTCTACACAAATGGTCTTGAAAACTTACAGTTTCATCTTTCCATTAGTGGACACACTCTTTTGGGGGTTTTTTGTCATCAGCAATACAAGACCAAAAAAACCACGGAATTTTCTTGTGTCAGTGGGACCTTAGATGACACAGAGGAGGGATCCTGGTTTTGTGCCCACATTCACACACCATTCCGATGAGGCTGTAAGTGCCAGGCCATGTTCACAAGCAGGAAATGGCTTGCCTCCACACCTAAGCCATCTTTTCATGTTGGGCTCTCAACCTCAGGCCCAGTGCGGGTAGTTGTGTTTCGCTGCTTCTGCAAGGACAAGAACAAGGGCAGGTCCCACATACGTGAGTGGGACAGAGTCCTCCCACATGCTGTCCAACTGGACCACACTGCCAAGGTCTTCAAAATAAGAACATATACCAGTAATTTGAATTTATTACTCACAATGCGAATTCTTCATAAGAATGGGATTCCTTCTAGTACTGGTAAATACGGCGCTTCTGACAGAACTACACCAAAGCAAAGAATTTGAAATGGAACAACTGAGACACAGACACAAGAAAAGTTAACACTATTTATGATGCCTTATATTTTACTGGTGGAGACAATGGCAAACCTGACTAATGCATCCTAAGAGCCATTATTCAGGATGTATCGAACACAGATGCAATGCACGCTAATCCCAGTAGACATGCTTTGGGAAAGGAAACTTAAGCCAAAGTGGGTCCTACAGAGATGACGCTCTGCTATTGCCACAGAGCTCTCTCCAAGTGTGACCAGACCTCAACAAGCATCACACAGCTTTAGAACTATCTCTGGACACATAGGAATTAAGCATGAGAGACAGGAGAAGCGTCTGTGAACTGTTATTCAGGAATAAAGCGACTTTGATTCAGCAAAGTGAAGCTGTGAAGACATGCAGCTCCCACAGCCTACCAGACTTGGTCCCTCAGGAGGACCCAGAGAGCAAGACAAATGAGAATAAACAAATACCTGCTTCAAAGAGGTAACAACTCAAGTATAACAAGAGTTAAGGATACAAAAAGCACAACACACGAGTACAGATGGGGCAGGCAGAGTAACAGCAAGAAGCGATGAGGAGCAGTTTTCATGTATCAGTAGGTTAATCACAGTCAAGTTTTTGTAGCCATGAAAAAAAAACCAGCATTTTAGAAAGGGTTTCAGAGGAGGAAAATGAGTTAGCATTACAGATGTTCATGTCCAGGACACGCAGTCCATGTTTGAGACGATGCAGATGAAGGAGTCAAATGTAGGCTGATTCCCTGTGAAATGTAAGACTATAAAACCCTTTAGCAGCAATATTCTGCAGAGACACAAACCAGGCCAGACTACTATTGCCAAAACCAAGAAAATGGTGTTGCAGTAACCAAGATGCAAAAATCAATGACAGTTTTGATGAAAGCTCAGCAGTATGCACAGACAGGAAAAGCTGTCATGCAGGCAGAATTAGCAGGATTTTGAAAGAGAGAGGAAGAACTGTGAGCTGAAGGAAACACCCAGATTACTCATTCAAATGTGAAAGCAGCACAGCAGCTGGAAGTGGGTGTTGCAGGAGCCCTTGGGCAGATGAAGAGTTCCAGGTTAGCAATGTTTCATTTAAGGCAAGACAGAGATGAGATGTCAGAGTTGCACTGAGATTGTAGGCTGTATAAAAGCTGATGGATGTTGAGTGTAGAAGCAGATGGACAACACCTCTTACTTGACTTTATTAGTTCCATGCAATATTTAGCTTTGCCTAGACAACTACTTAACCATTCCAGAAAGGCTGGGCTTTACATTGTGAACCAATGACTGAAGCCATTAGTATTTTTGTTCTCTCAGAGCTAGGTCACTTGCCAGAGATTATTCAAGCAGATTTCCACAGCTTATTAACATTTCCCACAAGTTAACTCTCATCTTAGACTAGCAGATGTCCTTTGGTGTGTTTCCAGTAACAAAGTTTCTACCACTGCCTTTTCACACTCTTCTCCACCTGAAGCCCCTTACAACAAGCTCTCATTTTCAAGATGCTTGCATGTTACAATAGCCAGGAAGAAGAGCTGCAACTTCTGATCCATCTGTACATACTGGTTTGATGAATGTGTTCTGACAATGGGAATCTGAAAGACTGAATGGTAATGCAGAATTCTCAGTTTTCTGCACTTCTTCCTTCATCCCCGTTACTTAAAAAAAAAAAATCAACCATGTGTCAAGTAAACATCAATTATTTCCCTAAACTCTTATGTTTTCCAGCAATTGATCACACACCCAGAGTTGAGCCTTGTCAGTCCTCGCTGTTTACCAAGCTTGCCGATATAAGTACACAATCACAGACACAACCACAGACACAGACACTAATTAACAACATTCCATTGTGCCACAAATGAGAAATGCCGAGAGATCTACCTTACCCTGCCCTGCTCCTTACGCAGCTCCCAGTTCACGAGTACACATGCACACAGACAGCAGGCAGACAACAATGAACAAAGATAATGAAGGGGTCTCTAGTATTTCAGATTTACCTACAACCGTGTCCTTCCATCAGAACTTTAAGAGTGTTTTGCTTCTGGCACTAGCATTAGCAATCCCACAATAAAGACTGTTAAGAAAAATGTTGCTCAACATTAGAGATAGTTAGAAACAGAGTTAGAAAAATCTGGGTGCTTCCCAGGAGCACTCTGCAAATTACTCATGAACTACTAGATATTTTACAAACTGTGCTTCGCATAGCTGCTGCCAATAGCTTATGCAATTCTCTGACCAAAAATAAATAAAACAAAACAGAAAATTAATATCCTGATGAAAAGAATGTGTACATCCTGTATATCAAAGACACAAACTGAATTTGAAATAAAGGACATGCATATGAAAAGCGCACATATTTGAGGGGTCTGGAGGGAAAGGGTTAAATGCAGATAAACCTCTTACTGGTGAAAATAACATTTGAATTTAATTTTATATCCAGACTAACTGGTTTAGAGTTCTTTCATTCCCACTGTGGGAAAAAGGGAACTGGAAAAAAGTCCCACTGAGGAAGATCTTTGCTTTCCCTCCTCTTCCCCACTCCCCCCCCCCTTTTTTTTTTCACTTTAAAAGTCTGTGATGATCTAAAGATAACAACAAAACGAAACTGTGTCTAGTATTTTAAAATCAGCTTTCCCTTGGGTTTCAAAACTGCGTCTGTTCCATGTGCACTGAATTCATCAGGAATACAGTGTACAAGATGACTAAAACATCACTCTGCAGTGAAGGACAGATATATATAAAAATAGATAGAAAGAAAAATGCATTTAAGAGGTGAACACATATGCCTTAAATCTACTGCTTGGTAGGGTTAACTTCTCTTTCAATGTTTCTAGTCTGACTCTTTTCTAGACCATTTTATACAGTTTATACTAGAGCTAATTGTCCCGAATACAGTTTACCATTTAGCCTATCAACTAGGGCTTTACAGGGGCATTTCTAGGCTCAGCCTGTACTCTTACCTTGTAGGCAGCTTGTCTCATAAACTGCTTTGCAGGCTGCTTCCAAATAGCAGGCACCGTGATGACCCATCTTACTTCAGTGTTTTCAAAGTCCGAGCCTCCTTGGTCACTGAGCTCCTAAATAAAAGGAAAATAGAGGTGAACACAAAATGATGGGCGTCAGCTTTATGAGAAAACATTATTTTTTGCTGGCTCCAGTAACAGTAGCTTTCTCATTTCCATTTTTTTCCTGTTACACCTATTCTACAAATCAGAACTATTGCCAACCTGTCAAGAATGCTTTACTGTGCCAAAAGCTGGGATTAGGGTTGATGCCTTCTCAAGGATGCCTATAGAAAAGTTTACTGCTAAACACGAAGCAGAAAATTTAGTTTTTCCAAAAGCAGCTTAAGCACTGCTGAATATTACAGTACTTTTATGTACATTAGTCACGGTGTGGGATTTGCTGTTAGTTTGAAGAATGCGTGCTTGCATCTTGATTAATACACAGAAAAAATATTTGAGGTCTCACTGATGAACATTATGTTTTACAATCTGGGTTTTCCAATGATTTCTTTATACACCACTTACCTTTAAATCAAATTTTTACAACTCATTTAACAAGGGGAAGTTACAGTTAAACTCTTAAAAAAAAAAAAAAAAAAAAAGACTGCTCCTTGCAAATTTTGCTTTAAGCAAACTTTCAAGACTAGTTTAGTTTTTTTATTGTTCTTTTTTCTTCCCTTAAAAAGAGGTAAGTCTGTATTGCATTCGCAAATTAGGTGAGATACTGACATGTTTTGGGAAAGGTTCCAAGTAAAACGTCATTACCGTATGTCGTATCTAAATCTCCGTCTAAACAGGGAAAGGTTCAGAAAGGTGAACAACGAGCCCTTAGAATATAAAAAAATGTTTCTGCATGTGCTGTGCCAAGGTGTTGTGTTTGTTTAGCTATGCTGCCATTCAAAAATCCACGCTAGAAAAGTAGTACCTTTATCCTGCACAGGGCACTATGAAGAGACAGATTATAGCCCAAAGTAACAGTTCATTTACTGTTGTAATTAGACACTGCTTGTCTAATTAGTTTCCGCATGCACTCACAAATCACAGGGATTTATTTATTAATGTAAAGATGTAGCCCTGAACAGGCAGCATAGCAAATATACAGGATTATACCCAACAGCATTCATATTCCTTAAGAACTTCTCCAGACTATGCACAGGTTCAAGTCTGTGACTCCACAATGAACCCCAAGATCTAGTTAAATAAGTCTTTGACAAGATGAGGAATTTGAGTTGTAATGGTAGGATTGTTTCTCTGTATCCATAAACAATAGACTGAGATCTCTCAGAGAATAAATTAAACCCATTCAAAAAAGTAGGTTAGTTTTTAACAACAAGGCTATTTTAAACAATGCTTGCTTGGATAAATATTCTGATTTGACCTAGCAACTACAATGCTTACGTTGACATTGCAGTGGTACAATTTAAGCCAATGTGTACTTAACTCACATTTTACTGCTTACACGACATTTTACATCTCGAAAACTGTTTACTGGGAACGTGTATTTTACAGAAGAATACAAAAAACAATCTTGTGACCCAAGAAGATTATTACAAAAAAAATGAGTATTGCAACATTTCAAATGGAAAGTAAAATGCATTTTCCCTACCAACACCAGCCACAGGAAAAAAAAAAATAAAAAGAAAAAAAGAAAAAAAAAGGCAACATCAATAGAGGCAGCCCATCAGAACACAGTATGAATTTACAAATTAAACCCCTAACAGATATGTCTCTTATTTTTTGGTTCTCCCTAATGTTTGTTAGATTTTCTGCATAAACGTGCATCAGGCTCAGGGCAATCAAACAACGTCTCATAGCACAACAACATGAAATTCACTCCTCATAGGGTCAGCACAGGGCCAAAATACCATAGCCTGATTGCAGCCCTTTGGCACACACTCTACAGTTTAACTACACAAAACAGAACAAAGAAGTGTTGTGCAAAGGTTCCTGAGTCGGTTTGGGTAATGGAGGTTATATACCTGTGCTGGTGCAGAATTCTGTGTAGGGTAATACGCTGAACCTCTCAGTGCAATCAAGTAGCCTGTACAGATCATTGCACTGGCATAATTACACAATTTCCTGCAGGTTAGCTAGCTGGTACACCTCAGCACGTCATCTGTACAGACTTGCAGCAAGATTCAAGTCACCAAATTATAAATGAGCTTTTAATAATCTTTCTATTACAAAATAAATCCAGATAATCCAACTTCCCTTTGCTTAATTAGTGAAGACAAAGTCACGTTGGGGAAGAAGACATCAGCAGGTGCCTGTCCTAGCGTGTTTCACAGTGTCAACTCTTTAACATGAAAGAGAACCTTGTGTGAACACAGAACAATCCATCATCCCAGCAGCAGAAGTGCACGGGATGAGGACAGGACTCACTCTCTAATTTAATTCCTGAACTTCAGCTCCTGCACTTTTAAATTTTCTCTTCAAATCAATGTTTCTTCATGAAAAAATCATCAGAAAATATTTAAGCCAATAAGAAGATATTCAGAACTCTGCATTATGGTGATACTATTATTGAATCAAGCTTCCCCTGTGCAACGGGAAATCACTCCAGGCTATTGTGAGCTCTCCAGAGTCCGCAGCCTGCCTAGAGTTTCTACAGCTGCCTTGCTTTGTTTACGTCAAATACTACTGAGGTCAAAGCTTGGCAAGGTTAGAAGCGTTAAGCTCACATTTACACCAGTTACAAGTACAGAAAATCCAGATAAGGAAGCATTCATTACCCCACCTTTAATGCCTGTTCCTTAAAGAATTGCAGAGCGTAAGCAAATATCTCCAGTGCTTTGACTTTTTTGCCATTGGCAGCTGTCAGGTCTGTCTCCATGGTAAGATTCTACATGAAAGAAAATAACTGTAAGTTATTAAAAGGAAAAGGTAAACATGAAATTAATTCCCATTGCTTGAGGAAAGGGAATTCTTTATCCATCTGGCTAGGAAAAAATGACAAAATTGTTCTGAAGAGGATCTAGCTCATCATTTGAATTTCCTGGAGCATGATATTTGCTGCTTATTTTAGACTGTTTCTAAACACCTATCAGGTCTACAAATAGCTGCAGGCAGAGAAAGAAATATGGACTAAATATTAAATAATTACAACAAATGTATTTGTAATTAATTGCAACAAAGCTGCACATGCAAGATGTTTAATCCAAGGTAAGACTTAAAAGCATAGATTTTTGGCTTCCCACTGACACATGAAACCAAAAAACACCAATACATAAAGTACTGGCCAAGTCCCAAAACTCTAGAATGGCTTAGTTTAAAGACAAAAATATAATCAGTAGGAATAACACCAAATCAACAGCATGATTTGCATTTGCAGTTTTGACAATGAACTCTGGGTAAATTTGCTCCTCTGCACTAGAATTCAGTACGGCTCTTATATTCTACTTCTGCTTTCTGAGTAAATTTATAGAACAAACCGAGCTCATAGAGACTCCCTAGACAGCTACAAATTTCCGCCAGGAAAATTACAACATGAAGATCTAAGCAAAGCAGATACTGAACTTCTAAGATCTAGAAAGAAGGCTGGCAAAATAAACTTGTCAAATGCAGTGAGAAGTGAAATGAATCATAATGTTAACTGAAAAGTTTAATTTACTTTATTTACTCTCTAAACTTAGAAACAGAGCTGTTTCACACATCCAGTTCACAATCTTTAGACAAAATCTAACATGGGAAGATGAATTGAGCAGCAAATACAGAATTGCCCAAGAGAGCTGGTTACTACTTACACTGGTAGTATGTAGCTTCATCTTAAACTTTTCAAAATACAACCAGTGCTTTGATTCAGTGGGATCCAAGTCATGGTAGAAATCTCTTGCTGCATACCCAAAGCTATGAAACTTTCTCTCTGGTGTTAGGAGGATGGTAGTTGGCGTCTTCTGATTGGATACGCCTGGATCTCCACCTTCCCATCGTCTATCCAACAAACGAAACAGCCTCAGTAAGTGATACTAATGTTTAGAGCAGCAGAAAAAAATAGTGTATTGTGAGAAAAACAATCTGGTGGCAGATTTCACAGACTGCTTTCTCCTCCAAAGGTACCAATTTCAATCTTTTTAATACCAAAACCAAGTGTTTTTATTCACATCCAAGAGGACTGTAATTTTAATTTCAGGTAATTCATTTTGCAGTTAGTTATAGCATTTTTAAGGACATGATCATACTCTGTCTTTGACAAGAACACAGGTTCCTTAAAGTAAGCCACACACAATTAACAAGAAAACAGCATTACACTTACATTTTCAAACGAAACATACACATGTAACAAATATTGTAAGGAAAAAAAAAATAAAGTAATTATCCAAGAACACTACAAACAAAAATGCAAACCCTCAAAATGGCCTACCCAACTGTCAATCAGACTTCACGCATTCTTACTTGTATGGGATATTCTTCCCCATTTTGAAATAGGGACCTGTTTAAGTCAGCTGAACACCACTGCGGAGAAGTCTGTTGAATCCCTGTTTCTGTCACAGAACACTCTCTGAAGCAAGACAAGCCAGTTCAACACGTCTGGATGTGCATAATTCCTGGACACCTGAAACTCTGAAGACAAATCTGCACATGTTGAGCTTTCTCTGCTGCACTCTCTGTTCATATGAAGTTGATGGATTTTGTGTTTAAATCCCCAAACTGCTGTAAAAATTTTAGTCTGTCAAAAACAAAGCAGACTCCCTCAACCCCCAAGTATCTTACAGGCACAAAAACATTTCCCTCACCACCATCCGGTAAAAAAGTGAACAAAGCTATCCTATCTTATCAAGATTGTGAAGGTATCTTCAGGAAGACCCAAGAAGCACCAAGGTATTAAGGCAAAAACACCACAAGGCTTCTTTCACAGAATGGATAAGGAAATAAGAACATTGAATATGGGAACAAACATTAAGTGCTGCAGGAATTGGGGGTGCACGGGGGGCCAACAAGGTCAGACAGTAGAAAGTTGTACTACAGAAACAGCTGTGAGCATTCCTGTCTTTTTGTCACTTCTCCACCACAAAAAAAAAAAAAAAAAAAAAAAAAAAAAAAAAAAAAAAAAAAAAAAGCAGAATGGAAGAACAAGAAACTCACATTACTATTCCCCCTTGCCCCAAATACATGTACCTTCAGCAAGGGAAACAAACACTTATCAGGCAACATTTTCTTAAAAAAGCATCAGTGGAAAATGTGCTCTATGCTATCAGACATCATCATAAGGCAGCTCAACCAGCAGACAAGTTAAGATCACAGAGGCAACTGCATTCATTATTAAACCACATGTTGATTTTTTTTTTCTAAAGACAGCAAAACACACTTCCATGATACACTACTGCCAAAGTCCTTGTTCTGAAGCACAAAAAGATTGCCTTGTTCTGTGGTACTTGTTTATGTGACATAGGAAGATTACATAGGAAAAAAAAAATCTTTTTCACTCTCAGAAACACTTGAACCAACTGAAAATTAATTGACCTCCAGCCTAAGGCAGGCAACAGACATGGAGAATTTCAATCTAAGGGGTTAACACTTGGCAAAGTAACAAGGAACAGGATCTTCTAAGGTGCTGGGACCCTTCAGACCATTCAACTAAATCAAACAGAGCAAAATCTGCCCATTTCTGTACCAGCAGCAGCAATAGCAGGGAATCACCGCCTGCAATGAATTTACTTCAGTTACAAGGCAATTCCACTGCTCTGAAAGCAGAAACAGCATGATGAGAAGTGGGATGATGTCTACCTTCTTCCACTTGAAAAAAAAACATTTCCTAGATCTCCCAAGTCCTGCTGCTCAGCCCCTAAGCTATCATCAGCTGGCAAGGGCCCTGCTCCAGGTCATTTCTGCTCACCTGCTCCTAGAAATGTACTTGGTCAACTCAAAAATCTTTGAGCAGGTGTTACAGCAAACATATGGTTCCAAGGTGGAGAAGCTGGGATCCCACAGCCCACGAACAGAAAACTGCCTATTTCACCAGAACATTAAATCCCACACACCCACTGGAGGCAGAGAGGAGACAGTCTGGTATCGCTTTGGCTTGGAATCATTAATGATTCATTCTGAGTCACCGGTGGGAAACGCCATAAATAGCATGTGGCTAATAACAACACTCCTTTATTGTTCTTTACGGCTAGGCATATTTTCTCTTTCCGGAATAAGTATACTTAAGGTGCTATGTAAATGAAAACAAATGGATGATCAGTGGTATGGACTGAAATTTCCACAGCTGCCTCATGAAATGGATATTCACTTCCTGACAAGTTGCTGACAGAAACTAGACACAGTAATTGCTCGGCAAGTTCTAAAGTTCTCAGCCTGCATTACTGCTCCAGTCACAGAAAGAGCAACAAGGAAACAGAAGTCCAAGGACCATTTCCTAGGCTGATACAAAGAGGAGCAGCTCAACAGAGCAGCACAGACCCATTTACAACCACAAGAGGATCTGACTGCCTATTAGAAGTGAAAATAGAGACAAGAGGAAAGTTAGTGTGGAAAGAATCACAAGGTTATACTAAGGTTAGGGAGATGCCCTTCCTTACACGTGAATCTGGCTGTCAGAGCAAAGAAAGTGATACGTGCAGAGTGATGAGAAATTGATCCAGAGCTGCAGCTTAACAGTCAAGGAAACAAAGCAGTGGGGTCATCAAAATGTAGCTGAACACCGCTAGGAGTGTGTATGCAAAAAAAAGGCCAGCATGTGTCTGCCAAGAAATACAATCAAACAGGGAAGAGAAGGAAAAGCAAAAACCTGAAGGCTGAAATTAAGTTACACTGAAAAAAAAGATCACCTTCTGCCTCCTTCCAAAGTCAGGCTGCAATTTGTTTCATAATCACATGAATTTTTACATGTATTTTTTCTCCATTTGTGAAATACTTACATTCAGTTTCTTGCTATTTAAGCAGCAGCCAAAACATTTATTACTTCACATAAATCAAGAGGAGTTTTTCAAAACCATGTAGGAACTCATGTCTTCCCTTCAAAGGAGATGTTATTAACTCATTCTACAGCAACAAACTGTCTTTCGTTATAGCTCTGGCACTGCCCTGCCCGCTGAAGTGCTTGCTGAACTCATGGCCAGGCTGTTCATGTGCATTTACTCACAGCCTCAAGGTATGCAGAAAATAACGGTCACCGTAACGTATACTTCTATTCTGCAACAAGAGCCTGAAGGTAACCACCACAACTACCTTTACAGAAGCTGTGGGGAACTAGCAAGAGTTGACAGGTGTGAAGTATTACCTAAAATTGACAAAACAGTAACTAATGCTAAGCAATCAAGGTAAAGTCATTCATCAACCATCTAGAAACACACGCCCAACTCCAAACACATGCCTTAGTCTACTGAAGTGAGCGAGGCTACTCATACATTTAAAGCTAAGTATATGCTTAAAGAACTTTGTTACATCAGTGCTCATAAATTCCTTTTTAAAGTACAGGGCATCACAGCAAACAAACACACACAGTCAAAAACATGACTTGTTTACTAATTACATGACTAGAATTATGACTTTGCTGACACTACACTCAAACTTGGTACTAAAGCCTGTGTGTTCACTCTTTTCTGAAGTAGGACCTTCTGAAAAAAAAAAAAAAACCATCGTACACTTCACTGAGACATTTGCAGAAAAGCAGCTTTGTTAAAAGGCAGTCAGAAATCTAAATGTCTGGAAAGGATCAACACTAACGAGGGAAGGTGGAAAAAATGTTAGGAAGCAAAGAGGACCATGCATCACTGGTATGCTTTATTTTAATGTAAACATTCTCGAGTGCAGGAGGGAGGTTACATTTACGCTGCTGAAATATTTGTAAATTACCCTGTGTGTAAGCCTCATTATATACAGAGTTCGAACCTCTTAATACCTTCTGAACTACTGAAGCCTTCTTTTGACATGTATACCATTCTTTTCATTGAATTTAATGAGTATTTATATATAAGTATATATAAAAATATTACATACATTATTCAATAAGTCAGTTTCAGCTGTATCTTCCCCCAAATCCTTCTCTGACACAAATATTTATTAAAAAACCAAAACAAAACAATATTCTTGGTATTAAAATATTTTCCCTTGTCTGAAATACCTGTTGAAAATCTGAATGCATTCCTCCCCCAGAATATGTCCCTCCCTTCTGGCTGGAAATACATGAATCCATTTATTTCACTTCTTTTTACATCAGTATCTCATATAATATCTTCACACATCTGAAATCACAATCATGCTGCCATTACAGTATAAGGAACAAAATACAGTCTTTTGAACCACAAGTAGTAAGATGTCTACTGAGATGTGGAACATACTCTCATCTGGCCACACAGTGCCTAGATTTCAACATCCCAGTGACCTACAGCAGGAACCCAATGGCAAAATCAGGTCCTAAGGTAAAATTTTGAGTCCAAGGCACTTAAAGGACATCCCTAAAACTAGGAGGGTTTTCACATAGTAAAACCTCCACAGCGATTGCAGGAACAACACAGTATATAGGATTTAGGCTTGCTCAGGTACAGCTTTGGAGATGTCTTCCCTCACTTCATCCAGCTTCTTTAAGAAATTTGATTCATTATTTGCTGTCAAAAGAGAATCAGAACTGATTCGCACGGATTCATGCAGCTTCCTCCGCTGCTTGCAGAACAACGGGTGTACGGGATGCAGAAAAGGCCTCGAAGCATTAGTTGTCCGTACTGGAAACAGCAGGGATCTTTGCAACTGGATGGCCTAATACCAAAATTTACCTCCCTTTGGACTGTATTTCGCATCACCCAGTTGTGTCAGATCTCTGAAGTACTTTGCAGCCATACACAAACTAACTATGCAGGCTGACTGCACAATCAATACTCTCTGCTGAGATTTAGAGAGCTGCATTCAGCCAGCATCTTTGCTTAGAAAAATTACAATATATCACACTGGACTACAGCAAGTTAGCCTTTTTGCCCTTTTGTTCTCAGTGCTGAAACAGTAGATTACATACTGCTATAACAGCAGCTTTGTTTAGAAGAACTTCTGTGGCTAAGCTTTCCATACATACCTTGCTTATGTCTGAAATTACCTAAATCTTGGTCTTATTACAACATAGTAATTTTAAAGATATTTTAATAAGAACTGTATAAGCTTTTAGTTATTAAAAAAAAATCCTTTAAAAAAGAATCAAAAACATCATACAAATGGTTTGTAGGACAATCCTTTCAGGTACCAGCCATAATAGTTTTTGCATTTGCAATTGCATTAGATCTATATGCATAAATTCATACAGAATTTGTCAAGAAATAAACAAAAAAGCCCTACATAACAACATGTAAAGTCTGTTCCTTACACAAATATAATACAGAATAGATATTTGAATCAAAATTTAATTTTCATATTTGTGCCTTTTGATTGCTTTATTTCCCAGTGTCACTGGCTCATTATCAGGAATTGATTCAAATTTAATGCTAAAAAGCTTAAATCAGACAAACAAACTATCAGTTTCCAGTTTCTGGGTGCAAGTCCCTAAGCACTGTACACCCCAGTACACAGGCATGATTCCAGGAGGTGGGCAGCTCCTGGGAAATGCCATGACCCTTAATAAAAGTATAGTTTCTCTCAATCTCTAAGACAAAGACATCTTGACTTAATAATTATCACTGCTCCCTGAATAATTCTAAATACTCACTGATCTCTCCTTTTACTCATGTCATCTTGTAAACTCAGAAAAACAACAGAGACGGGACATGTTCACATTGATTATTAAAGCAAATTAGAATACAATAAGATGCAACAAAAACTATAACCATAAGAAAGGTGTGCACTGTGGCAACACTAGACACATCTAGCCACTTCAGGCTCTTGTGGAAAACATCTAGAGCTACTGCAGACAATCCATGCTATCACGATCCAAAACGAAATGCTGCATTGCAGCCCTTACCTCATCACATGAATACATTCTGGTTCCTTGGTGAAGCTGTACGCGTAGCCACTGGATGTTGTGCCAAAATCAATAGCCACAACAACAAGAAATAGCTGTTCTACAGCATCATCTGCATCAGAGTCCTTCTGTTAAATAGCAGAAGCAAAGCAGACACTGAGTCACTGATTTGAATAACTGCAACCTGTTTTGCACTTCAGTATTTCTGCTCTCTGAGACATGTACATCTCTTCAGCAGAAATAAGAACTTCCCTAAAGCTGCATTTGTGACCAGAGTTGATAGCAGAAAGCTCCACATTCCAATGGAAGTGGAAATTCAATATACAACTCAGTATATTTTCTGGTGACTTTTATACATAACCTTTTGAATCAAAAGTTTCCTTCATACTCATTTATTGGAATAGCTGTTATCTTGTATCTTTAAAACTTACGGCTAACCACTAGGTTATCCGGTTTGGGGCTGTTGGGTTTTGTTTTGGTTTTTTTCCTTAAATTGATCAACTGAAGAACGCTTATAGCCACCAATGGGGCATTTCTGGGACTTATTTGGTGGGTTTAGGAGTCACCTATGTCATGACCTTGAATATGAGGTACTACTACCATTCAAAACTAGTGGAGACAGAACAACCCAAAATACAGCAATAGGCTTTATATCCCATGATAATTATTTATTTATGAAAAATTTAGATAACACTTATTTTGTAAGCACTATATGCATTTTTTCCTTCTGCCTGTCCTAGAACATGGAAAGCTGTTCAGCTGCTTATAGTGAATTTGAATCCTTCTCCCTGCCTTTTACCTGTAATCCTGCAATCCCTGAACAGCACAGTCCAGGGCAACGTGGGAACGTTAACTAGAAGAGGTCGAAGGGTTACGGTCCAAACCATAAGGATGTGATATAGGGCATGATGTGAATAAATAAAGAATTGTACCACTCCTCAGTATGCTGTCGCCTAACATATAAACAGCAGGAGTAAGTAATGAACAGCAAGGAACTACTGTTCTCATGCTGATGGTTGCTAAATCACTAACAGCTTAGCAAGATAGGAAGAGAACAAGCTGGTAACACTGGTGAAAGCGCTGTGTGCTACAGGCAGGCAGATAGCGAAGGAGGATAACACACCCCATCTGCACACACGTCATTTTGTCAAAATCACCATGGAACAGACCTGTTGACCTACTACTATACAGGCCATGTCCAAATCCTCTGCCACTGCTGTCCAGCCTGTGCTCTCAATCACATGTTGAAGCAATTGTTATCATCTTTTGCAGAGGAACCGTCAAACGCCCTCATTCTATGAGCAGTGTTCCACCATCTTCCTCACATATCTCTGTTATCTCCAAGCCTGCTACTTCCAGTACCTTTCTATTGTACCCCTACATTTTCCAAGATCATCCCATAGGCCTGCTACTTAAAATGGAGGAATGAGAGTAATAAGGTTTGGTCTCAAATAATTAAAGACTTGTTTGAATTTTCCTAATAAATCTTTTAAACTAGGGCAATATGTTATTTAAACGTCTTACTCAAAGAGTTTAAGGAGCAAATCTAACTGAGAGAGGACATAAATTCATCAGTACGACAGAAGTAAAAGAAGGAAGTTCTGGAGTATAAGGAAAAAAGGGAATAAAAGCAAAAATTTATGAGAGAACTAGAAATCCTGCAGAGGAATGTTGTACAACTCTGAACTTGATTCAGAAAGCTAAGGAAGAAATCCAGCAAGGGTAGCAACATGTTCTGAACATGATCTCTCACAATATCTGTGTTACAGATGATACAGATGATCTTAAAAACAGATGGGACTTAGTTTTAATGGGAGTTTGTAAATAAAATGAACATGATGTATAAGAGATTAAAACACACTACCTTTATGGGACATTGGCTTGCTTATAAAAGCTTGCAGAGGTGGCTACTTTCATTAAGAAACTAAACCAGTTCTGTTCTGAGCTTCTCCCTCTCTGTGCTGGAGGAGATTCTTTTCTCTGGGAATTTGGATTTTCCTACTGAATATCATATATATCCTTCTTTTTTTCTGAATAAAATGAGACTTTTCAGGGGCTGCCTAAACAAATTAGTGACAAAGACAAGGACAGAACTTGTGAACCCTGAGGATCAAGAAGCCCCTGCTTTTGATATAAAAATATGCAGGACAAAATCTGTCAACTCAGCAAGTAGACTGGAGAAAAAAAAAAAAAAAAAAAAAGCATAACCAGGACCCTAATGAAATGAATGAGAACTTTGTCACCAACTCCAGCATCACCAAAATTTCACTTAAGACTATAGATACCATAAAAGGGACCACTATGTGAAGAAAAGACAAATTTCTAAAGAAATTACCTCCCACCGACAGTCAGGAGAAAGCAATGTCAACGTACAGTGTGTTAAGAGTACATTTCTTACCGCAATATGCGACGGAGACAGTGGGGTTATTCCAGGGTCTCCCAGACTTTTGGCTGGTGATGAGTAAGCAGATGTGGAAACTGCATCTGAAAGGAAACAAAAATTCCTCAGTGCCAGTAAGCGGAATGAGTAGGATTAGACTGTTGCTTTGTGTACTGCTACACTATCTTCCTGTCGTAACAGATCTGCCAAAAAAGAAAACAAATTCCACAGGCACCAAGTAAAATATATTTTTTTGCACTTAACAACACTCAAAGACACAACAACTGCAGTTTCGGTTTTAAAATATTTGTCTGACCTTTATGACTAACTTCTGTTCTTTCGCCTATTACATTACCATGTGTAATTTTAAAAGTCTTTCTAAATATATTGAGAAGTCATAGTTGATACAAGCAGCTTGAACACTATACACCCACTTTAATGGCTTAAGATTTAAACGTGTGAATGCAGAAACGAAATACAAGTTGTGAGATCAATAAAGACATACTCATTTTAAGAGAAAACGAGCAGTTGATATCAATTGGATAATGCAGTTAAGAATAAGTTGCAATTATTCCATGATGAACCTTTATTCTGAAACTTTCCCAATACTGTCTCTGTTTTTATTCTCCAATTCACTCTGCACTGAAATATCTTGCAGCTGTTAATATTACTGCAGGACAGAATCCAGCTGGGGAAAAGGAAAGTATTATTAACAAATCATCAAAGAAATATTTCTACCCTGCCTAAAATACTGAAATTTATTTTGAAGGAACATACCAAATAAGTGACAAATACTGTAATGCACTATTTGTATTTTTCCTTCTCTTGTATCTACCCCATCGATGACAGAAACTGAAATGGCTTATTAAAATAATTAAGCACTGATTTATATATAATATATTATCTCATGAAGGATGCAATAACATTTATAAAAATGGAAAGCAGAAAAGGTACTAGACACCCTGTCCATGCTCATATCCCTCTACCCCCAAATTTAAGCCTTGAGTTAACTGAATTCTCTTCTGTATAATACAACCTAATTAGATGTAAAGCTGAATTATTTAATAAGTCTCTAAAGATTAATAACCATAAAAATATTAAATAATACATTTCAACATATTTTGATCACCTACTTGGGTGTATCACACAATAAAATGCATATTTATGCATAGCATGAGACTTCCAGACATGACTGACAAGTCAGAGCATTATTCTAAGATGACACAGGAGCTGCTCTCCAAGAAAAGACCTTAAACTACTTAACGATGAATCCTGTTGCTCCTGGAAATCAAATATGTGTTGTTTCCCGGGGAAGATGCAAAAACTCTGCAGTGGGCAACTACGGGATAAACTGCCCACAGGAAAAAAAATCTTCCTCCAAATCTTAATACTGCTGTTGTAACAACATCTATTTGTGTTCAGGTTATAATATACACGTTCAGCCTGATCTTCAGAAGCATCTGCAGAAGCAAAATATTCACATTTCCTACACAAGTTCTTCAAGAATACATTGTGTTACTCCTCTTGTGGTAAAGCACAAAAAGCCACGGGCCAAATGTGACAAGCACAGAATCTGCTGGGTTCGTTAAGATATATTTGGATCAGATGCTGTTACCAGCCTCAGATGCTGTTATCTGCCTCCTCTGTACAATCTCTTCCTCTTTTCAAAACAGATTAATTTTTGTACCATCAACATGGCATTTTTCACAGAATTGAAAAACAAGATTTCAGCACAGGAATTAAAAAAAAAAAAATAATTAGGAACAAAACAGATTCTTCGCATCCTTCTGTCGCTCGCGACTGGAGCTGACCCAACGAACGCCTCCTGGGCAGACCGGGACGTTGCAACACTGGCTCAACATTGTTGGTACAATTCTCCTACTTGGGATACTGGCTTTGGAGGACAAAAATGTAGACATCAAATCACTATCTATGTGTTTTCAGTCCTTCTCTTTGTTACTAATTCTTTTTGTTACCTGTTTCAGCACTCATGTTTCAGTGATCTATTTTCCAGCCTGTCTTCAGTTATCAGCCTGGGTGTACCTTGAGAAGTTATTTATAGCTCTATGTGCAACTCAGAAAATCCTGTGTGACAGTATGCACATTTTTTTTGTTTCTCAGAGAGCAGCGATTAAATAACGAGTGCAATATCCATATTCATCCAATAAACTGTGAAAACTTCAACGGTGTTCTATCATTAATTTATTCAACCCAATTAACTTGTGATAATCCAGAAGTATAAAATGTATACACGGGCACTCACTGTATCTTCAAGTATAAAATATTTGCCAACAAATAAAAAGTGTTCAGCAGAGATCAGAGGTCTGTCTTAGCTACCCACAGAAAATGCCACTTATAACAGAAAACAGACTAAGATATTTTCATTGAAAATCTTTAAAACAAATTGCCCATTTCAGTTTCAGAATGCTCTTGAAAACTTACAGATAAAGGCTGGATTTCTGGAAGGGCTAACTTTTTCTAATTCTCATCAACTGCTCAACTCTGCTGCAAGGTTAAGCTCTTGGTGATTTATCAGTATTTTTTGACCAGAGGAAAAAAATCCTTGAAAACCCACGACCATTCTGCACTGCATTCACTGCTGCTCCTGCAAATACCCACCTAAACAAAACAATTCTACAATAAGTCCTACATGCCACCAGCCTAGAGTTTTGTTGGGTCAAGAGAGGAATATCATGGAAGGCAATACTACTAAAGAAGCAAACTAAAGTTTTAACCAAAATGTACTGTCACAGTTATTCTGCAGAGCTGCTATCATGTTGGCACAAGCAGCAGTTGCACTACATTGCACCTCATTTCATGAGACTACAAACTAATCATGTGCAATAATTGGGGCAGCCATAATTGCTGTATTGTAACGCAGGTTCTAAAAGAAGCCCTGACATTAGGAGAGTTTGCAGAGCTAATCAACTGCAGTTCAGAACACTGGGAAGTTAAAAAGTCATTTATCAGAGCGGTTGGCATTTACAGAAAAATGGCTTGCAAGCCAGTCACCCTAGATTTAATGCCAAGAGTTCTTCTAATAAGTAGTAAAATAGTTGTTAAAAGCAAGTGAAATTAGGAACTTTGTAACATTATACTATCTACCCTACCTAAACAGAAAGGTGTCAAAACACGCTTGTCCATGTGGGAGCTTTACTATTTTGTTGAGTTAGTGTTTGCTTGGCGAAAAAATGTGCATGTGTCACAATTTTACAACTCTGTTCTGAAGAGCAGTAAATGCATGAATATTCTGGGATATTTAAAAATCTCTTACTTTTAAAGGACTGCAGTTGGTTGATCTGAAATAAAAAAAAAAATTAAAAAAAAAAAAAAAACAGGATCTGTTTCAAGCCAGAGAATGGCTAAAGTGTTGCAAGGAACCCAAATTGCAATCATGCAAGATAAAAAAGCATGCGTAGCCTCCATGAGTAAATTCCTCTTCTTAAAAACTTAAAAAAGACATCCTGGATAGTGTTATGGTATTTGGAACAGTTCTTGAATGCAGGGTCTTACTAAGGCTTCTGTAATGAAAAAACACAACCAAGTAGCGTCTGACATAGCTCAAGTTCCAGCTTTATCTCCCATGTTTACTAAGGATCTTTATCTGTGACAAACCACACACTATGAAAAAAAACACATAGCTAAACAACATGCATTAAATAAACATTTGGTTCTTGACGATTTGCATGCCAAAATAAATGGAGGATTCTGATTTAGAATCCAAATTATATTAAGCCTTCAAATATTTGCACCAGTATTCGAAATAATCTTCTTCTACCTATGATACAAACTTCTTGAATAGAAATCTTTTCATTTACTTATGCACAACAGCACATCAATGCTTATAATAATGAACCTGAATGATGACTGTCTACATCAGGGGTTTCTATAATTTAACTAAATGTGTATAGAATGAATTTAACCACATCACTACCATTTCTGACTTTACTGCTAATTTAAGCAATTGCCAAAGAACAACTAGTGCATTTTCAAGGTGACCAAAAGAGGCAGGGAAAATAGAGAAAACTCTCTTTTTCAGAACTTTTTTTTTTTTTTTTTGCATTCAAAGGGTATTTGCAAATTTTGAAACAATTACAGAGCTGGTGAAACTATGCAATCAGCAGATACTATATTAATAATGAATCATGTCAGATATCATACTAGCTGCAATTGCTGGTTTAGCAGATTTAAGTTATTCCTTCTTCCAGTTTAGCTTTTTCTGTTTTTCAGTAAATGATAAGCCACATTCTAGCTTTCCAACGTTGCTGTCAACAAAATGCAATAAGAGTTAACCTTTAAGTGTCACAGAATAAAGAGTAAAAGCAAAGTCCACAGCATTTATAAAACTTAGCTGATGTAGTGCTAACACTTCACTAACAGCATGTTCAGCTGAATCTGATTTTCTAAGATACCTGAAGAGCAAGACTAAGCTCCTTATTTAAGGTACTTTCTGAACCTTTGCAGACCTCATTTCCAAGTGATGGTGAAAGGGACTCATCATGGTCTGTAACTCTTACCGCCCTTTGCAAACCAGAAAATAGGCAGCATCACCATGATAACATCTCTCTGTAGGAACGTGCCTAAACACTAGTGTGTATGTCATAACCAGCTCAAGGTGTCTTAAGTTCATTTCTCTTTCTATCCTGCCAGAGTGGCCGCAAACCCAACACTTGCTAATTAAACGCTTCTCATGATTTTCTGAATCAACAATAGGATTGATATCATTCTCTATTTCAGATCATACTTCTAGCATTGTAAGAAGATTTCACAATAATAAGTCTTTTTTTTTTTTCAATCCCTCATATACAATGCAATGAAGTCCATTCATTGTGCAGATCTCAGCCCCTGCCTGAGCTTGAGCTGACTCATCAACATATTACACCCTTTTCCAGGCTCTCCAAACTCCCAACAGAGTGTGCCTGCAGTAAAACACCCTGCCTCCAAAGGAAAGCTACAACAACTTTTTGATTTGTATGGAGCATATCCACTGCACCCTATGCCAAATCCATTCAGCCTCTCAGTTATTTGTAGGCTGATGATCCAGACACACACTGTAAATCAGAATGGATTAGACCTACTAAAAATGCCACCATTGCGGTGGATTTTTATGGGTCCAGTAAATCCAAGTTAACTGAATTTACAGTGCACAACACTTGCACATATCTGAGAGACATTTTTCTGGAATTTCCAGCCATCTAATAGCTGGTAAGAATGATTACTATATGTAGCTACGATCTCAGTCAGGTTGCTGGTCATTCCAAAATCTTGGCCAAATTCTTAATTTTTCATTCAGCCAATATCTCTGCATTAAAAAAAGTACCAAATGAAATATGGGCACAGGGTAGACATCAGGAAATAAAAGAATGGAATTTAAAACATTGTTTTTCATTGTATATAATTTTGAGCATCAATGATAATTTTTCTGCAAATAAAGATTGCTAAAGATGATCGCGCAAGAGGAAAGGAAGGGTTTACCATATTGCTGTTAGCTGGCAACTGCTGCATTGATCAAGAAAACCTTACTCAGCTTTTCCTATTGCTCAGATTTTGCTTTGCATTGAGAACAAAATGTCACAGTTTCCAAATGTAACGTGATAACCTAGAGCATTTTACTGCAAATACAAAGACAGCCTTTGAAATAATTATTGAACAACCAAAAAAAAAAAAAAGAGACAGAGAGAAGCAAATACAAAAAACCCACTGAAAATATTCTTATTCATAATAAAAAGATCCTATATTTCATATCAGAAGTAAGAACCTTCTGTTCCTACTGAAACCAATGACACTACTGCTATTACCGTCAATTGAGTCAGAGTTCTTTGTTTTAAAATGCCAGTAGGCATCCAGCTGGTTTGTTGAAGACTGCAGTACACTTCCCTTCTATGAATACAGCCATAGCGAATCACTGATACAAATCCAAGTTTCCTGATACCCTTTCATAATAATTGGTCACCCAAAGAGCTGGTATTCATTGCCCTGGTACCAAACAGAGCACAGTGATTTCATAAATAAAAGGTCTCCCAATTGTTTGGAAAAAATTCTAAAAATAAGACATGTTCCTCATTACAACTTTGACCTTTTTAATTTATGATTTTACAGTGCCTCCCATCATTATTACAGTTTGATCGGTGGAACTACTTTTCCACCATGCTATCAAGCTTTCTAAGATAACTTAAGTTTTTTAACATTATTGTTAAGAGTATCAGAAAAACACCTCAGGTTCATCCCATTGCTCACTTGGTGGATAATATTCACTTTCCTGCACTTTACCAGCAAAGGGAAACCAAAAGACATCACCTGCTTTCTGGGAACTTAGTTTAAAGGTGAAAGAAACACACAAGAACTTGCAATAACCTTCTGAAAATGCCACACGGGTTGTGTTCACTTCTCTTTTTGACAGGACTATTGGCTAAACTATTTTACCCAGATTTGATATGACCTTGTTAAAATGTACTAAAACAGAACTGTCACACCCCTGTGCACACTTCACAACTGGGTCTGTAAGGCTTCAGCCAGGTCTTTAGCAATAGCTAAGTCTGACCTTAAAGGTGCCTTAAAGCCATCAACCATCTACACTGCAAGGTCTTCAATCCAGTTCCACCTTGAGTGACCTGAGAGCCTTACAGCTTTTGTGGTCAGTCAGCTCCCTCTTCCCTCACACTCCTGCCACAGTTCCCACTTGCTCAGAAACTGGTCACACCGCAGAGCCTGGGGCTTGGGGGACTCACCAGGGCACCTCACAGGGATCGCTCTCTTCCTAGATACCAGCTCTTTCACACCCAGACACTGCTGCCAGGAGACACAAAACTGATCCTGGTTTACACGTTGGAGAGGGCAGGTTGCATGTTGTGATAAAGGTGGGTTAACAACAGATTTTGTGGCTCAAAGTGGTAGAAGACAACTCTGCAGGATCTTTCTAAAAATTCCACGGATATAGTTCTGTAAAAACATCTTTAATAAACACTAATTAAGCTCCTCTTCCTTCAACAAGC